ATTCGAGGATAAGTCAGAGTCTGTTTTTATGTCTTCATGCTTATGTTGTGACTTCCAATATTTTATGCATATGTTATAATTTCGAAGAAAATTGAATAATATCGTAGATTAATTCAGCGATCAGAAAGATCTATCCGGAGAGTTGTTAATTATTTATTATCACGCGACTAACTAGTATTTACGTAGACCGATGCGATATTACATATAACCAATAACATCGTCGGCGTAATAAACTTAACTAAAGCCGCGCTGAATTAGAGTCGACAGCCTTGAAATAAACCGCATATTTATAATATTTATCACATGCGAAGGATGATACTAAGAGACAAATGCAAACTATTGATCGAACTATAAATAATAGATAATATATTGAGTCTGCTAATCGAACGTGCACTTGTGCAAATCCATCACTGTTCTCATTTCAAACACATCGACTTCTAAATTGGTTTTCAGAAGTCATTAAGAACATTGAAGATAACACGGAAATAGGCAAATTAGAATATTTGTAAATTTTGCGTTTACAAAGTAAGAAATTTGAATAATTAATATATAAAAATAGTGTAGACTCGTACAGTACAATTGCTGCACTCTAATTTTATTTTTTTCTCTAAAAATACGACTCGCTAATTTTATGTTGGCGTTTCAAATTGGAAACGAAAAATCATAAAACTTATCCATTAACGCTCTACAACAACAACTAGGTATCAGTAAACTTATAAATGACTAATAAATTAGTGTATTGATTCTTAGCCTGTTAATATTTCAAAAAAATGATATTCATTAATATCAAATAGGTAGATTTTGGAAAATATTTCGATCTTATTATGTCTGTGGACTAAATTTAGTGTCGCCTCAGGCAGGGACTAGATCAACAAAATCGATTACGTAAAAAATCGCCTAATGGATCAATGAGAGACAGACAAAAAGTATCGATTGGATACCATTATAACATTTTATTCTTGTGAATATTTATTTCAATCAAATATTTAACATAACAATTCTCATTTAGTGTTTGTATTTATTTTTCAATATGAGCATCCAGCAGCGAGATGGCTGTGATTTTTAATTCTTAGCTTGACATTGTTGATTTTTTTTTAACAATGGTCGGAGCGGTCAGATGACAAGCAAACGACCTTCGCAATTAACACGAAGCAATATAACAATTGCATTCTATTTGCACGCGAAAACCAGGACGGCAATTTGTCATATTAAAAAGAAACAATTGTGTTCATCTCATGAGAATTCGCTATAAAATGAATCAACCTAGAAATTTGTGTAATAATAAGACCGGACCGCGCCTACGCCTCGTACACCTCATTCGAAATCATGGGCCTGTTGGACTATATTTGAATTTGTTAACGGTGTTTGCGCAATGAAAAAGTATATTGTTGAAGAAATTAGAGTTCCGTAATGAACCAGTTTCGTTAACAGCATATCCTGAACCGAGAAAAGATTTTAGTATTATTGCTGGAGAAAAATATTTCTCTTTTTAGTCGAAATAATGTAAAATCCAAATTATTTTATAAAATTAAATTGATGCAAATAGATTTTATTGTTTGATGGAAAGCAATAATTTTTTCAATATTATGGGAGAAATTCACTATGGAAATATTTAAGTACCTACACACAAATATCAATGTCAATAACCATTAAGTTATGCTTTAACAATATATTTTTAATATCAAGTAAACATATTGCTGACTTCATATTTCATCTTGTAAATGCATTGTAATAAAATTATATCTAACCAGATAGTTAAACATCTGTTCAAATATATTACACATACAAATTCTTCGTAATAACCTGTATAAATAAAATTTAACACGTCGTTCTTAAATTGAATCTATATATTACTGTAGATATTATTACCTATTGTTCAACTGAATGTTCTTGTGACCTCAATTTAACGATTTGGCAATAACATTGGACCAAGAACAGCATAGTAATTGATTGAAAATAACATATTTTTTTATTCTTTTCTGCTAATAATTTACAATTTAATTTCAAAATATACGTTATAATAAATTTTTCTTAGTTTTGAGAAAAATCAAAATGAATAAATCAAAGGCGAAGAAGAGGTAGTTTGTATAATAAGCATAAAATACTTGTATTCTTTTTAATTATACTACTAATTTTGTTATTTAAAAATATACCTTATTACTTTTATAAATTCATTTAGATATAAAAGCACCAAAACAAGATACAAAGCTATTGTATCGCGTTGATTTTACAACCTCCCACGGATTTTAAAATCATGGCGTTTCCAAATATGTCCTGGAATCGAAATGCAAACACAATCATCGAAATACGCAAGTAACATACGATTTGCATTTGTAGTTTTTTTTATAAACAATAATTGGATAAAAATTATTCAAACATTCTACCACAATTAACAGCTTTAGATATTAATAAATCAATTAATTCTGCGATTAATATGTAGATAGAGTCATAATTATTTATGAAGATCAGGAAAACAAATAACAAATGTGGGAAAAACACTAAACAAATCATTTTCTTATAAGATTAGGTTTGAGGCAAAAATAATGGGTTTTCAGACATATTTATGATAGTAGGTGTAATGAAATGTCATCTTTGTGTTTTCAACATCATCTATTTGCGTGGTCTCATCGTTCAATATGAAAGTATCTAAAACAAATAATATGTCAACATATGCTTAATATGCATATATTTATTTCAAATATTAGCGAATAGAGAGACATCGATATTGAAATGTTATAGAATGGTATAAAATTGTACAAACGGCTTTGTTGAAACTACATATGCCATTACTACGTATCAATATTTACTAATCTACTCCAATCGAGTTATTATAAATTGCAATTAATATTGAAAAAATAGCCTAATTCAATTTAATGTAAAATTCATTATTCAAACGGAAGACTAACTAACCACAATTTAAATAAATTTCATTGCATAGTAGATCTATTGTTTTGTTATCGTCGCAGCTAATTACAGCAATAGTTGAGATCAGAAATAGTATATATTCAATATATTATATATCATTGCATTATTTATGTACCTTGGCAGCTGCATTGTCAATGAATTATAATTCAAAATTCATTAGTCCATGTCATAAACGACCTAAGCAGCCAGCATATTAGCAGACACCGTGGGCTTATGTAATAAAACTTTCAATAGAAATGATTGTACTTTTTGTAACAATATTATATAGTAGATGAGGCGCCGAGTCGCAGTCTGTCTGCATTAAATTATATTGAAGTAGCAATTCAAAGTTTTTAAGAAAAAATCCAGCTCATTCCGAATTCATTCAATCTTAAATTATTAAAACTCGGTATTTAATTTTTGAACACGTTTAACGTATGAGATTTCGATACAAATTATTTTAACAGCTTTTATACAAACCCTTAATAAACTTGTTTTTATTTTCAATGTGAAATAAAACAATGGGTCTATAAATTTTCTAACCGGAGGTGTTAGTACAGAACTTTTGGAATAATGAGTAGGTATGTATCCGTCCTTCGTTTTGAAATAAGCGATCTACATTCTTACTTCATCATTTGCATAGTGCTTTGTTGTTGTTGAATAGGAGATTTCTGAACCACTAGTACGGAATATGTAATAAAATTAATGCGTGCGATAAACGCTTTCTTTGCATTGGCAGATGCTGATCCATTTTATTAGTTGAATTGTTGAATATTAAAAATATCACAGCCTTGATAGACACGGGTTTTATATTCAAATTACACACTATATTCGCTAAATGTCAGGCTTCTAATATATATGTAACGTGTTCAAAGTATCATAATAAATGTCAATTCGGTGTGACATGAATTTTACTTGCATGTTGTAATAACTTCAACATTTGTTGAAGTTGTTTTTTATGAAAGTCGAGAGAAAAAACTTGTTTTATATTGTTAAGCGATAAATGTTAATTGGAATAATTATCGTAAAAAGCAGTAAAGCAGAGGTAAATTGCATAGGTAAATAATATGAAGTTTGATGGTCAAACCAGATGAATTTGTGATCGAGACCAGATAAATGGCATGATAGATGAATGCGCACGAATGAAATCTGCACCGCTGACAGAACAGTAGGTATGTTGCAACATTAACAATCACTTGTGATAAATCCACCTGAAAGCACTGAAACGAACGGAACACAAACACGCGCCAGCTAATAGAATTAATGGGCACCACGAAATAAGCTTTATTTATCGATAACACATTATTATAGGTAAATGCGAATAATTTGATTTGAATACATTAGATTCGTCTGATTCCAGCGTTGCGATATGAATCGGCGTCGGTGCGCTGTGTGTGCACTGTGCACATGCGATATGGAGCACATAAACTGAGATGACGTGAATTGCAAAGAGATCACTCGGTCCGCACAGGTGTAAATTCGAGCATCGCACTCGACACTGGACTGGACACTGGACACTGAGCACTGGTAGTCCTCCAGAACGATACTGCGATGCAAACTTATCTGTGATGCGAAAGAGACTGTCGCTAGAGTTTTCTGCGAGACGACGGCTCCGGAGCTCCGGTCGGTGCAAACACCCACGTCAGATAACACAAGGTGTTCGCTTTATAAGAACCATTTCGACTTGAAACTATCGATGTGTTCGTTCATGATAACGTCTATACAACCAACAATCGGGATTTGCACACATTCGAATCGGTTGCCGTGTTGAAATAGGTGCGCCTGCCTACTTGAACACCATTTATTACGCGAATCTGCAGCCCAGGATGCGAACCTATGATTGATTTCGCGTTTGGTACTCGTTTGGAAGGTCTTTGCAAAATATATATGTATGTATAAACTAAGGTCGGATACACTATTCATTCACGATTAACAAGCATATTGTAAGTACTTATATAAAATGAAACAAACATGCTTTGAAAATATAACAACATATTTATTAACTGCAAGTGATCTGTAATAATTAAAAACATTGCATATTGCATATAAGAGGCACATTCTGTTGAAAATATATATTGACAATATTATTTGATGAGTTATATTATAGCGTTTCTGAAAAACGGGCTTCTTATTTTCAATAAGTCGGAATCAATGGCGTAACTATTTAGATTTGTTGACATATCAAAATTATTTTCGTTTCTGCAAAGAAGCATATCGCTGGACAGATTGAAGCTGTCATCATCATTATTCAAGAGTGTATTTTCTATTTCCAGTGGTGAGGCCATTGTTCGTTCATTATTTTTATCAATAAAATCATCATGATGACATTCCACATCGTATTGCAGAAGAAGTGAACTACTTTCCATGTGTTTCTCTTGTCCGTCAATAATATCGACGGGAGCAAATTCAGTTCTCATCGATGAATTTTCTTTGCTGATGATATCGTAAGAGGCGACATCGCCGAAACTTTTGTCCGCGTCGATGGCCAGGTCGATGGAACCATGATCGTTCGGCCGCATTTCGCAATCGCTTTCGTGCTGACAAGATAATTCTTTTTTAGCCTGGGGATTATTATAAGTCATCCATTCGATATTTGATATATCATTATCATTCTGTTTTATAATCGATTCAATATTTAGATCGATGCTGTAATAATTGTAGTCGGGTTGTACAATCGGTAATTGCTGCACAACATCTATGTAAGGTAATGTGGTGATCATCTCGTCAGATCGATAACTCGATTTTGCATTTGGGCATCCTGTTTAGATGAAATTGAAAGAATCATGTAAAGACATTAAGAATTAATTATCAAGTTATATAAATATTGTCTTGTCATAAGAATTTATTTATTTTTCCACAAAATGCATCTCCTATAGAGGTTTGAAATAGATATTCAAATAAAAGTAAATTATAGCTTTACCTTTATCGTCTTTCCCGTAAAAATCAGTAATTGGAGCATCGGCCTTTTCTATATCACCCTTAACTTTATACTTTTCCTGTTTTCGCCACTTTGCTCTTCTATTCTGGAACCAAACCTGCAACAAATTTCTAAAAGCATGTATTAGTTTGTAAAAAAAATTTCATTATACTATATTAAACTTAGAAGAGAAATATTAAACTTATTGTGAAAACAATATCGTTTGAATGTAATGATGTTATGAAATAGAATAGAAATAGAAACTGCTGAATATTTAGGGGTAACACCACTATAATTATTTTAAAAAAAGATTATTTTTTAAGCTAAAAGTATTTTTTTGTTGTAGTTTCAAGCCATTTACCAAGGCATTTGTAATGTCTATAACACTTTTCTAATCTTACATGTACATTTTTCTTAAAACACGTTTCTTCAAAACGGCGCACAACATAATTCATGATAGTTTTCATTTTTGTATTTGTTACTACAATATGTTTCAAATAAGATTTTGAAGAGAAATACGTATGCTTTTTTGATGTATTAAATTAATCATTATTCAATGATTATCTTTTCTGTTGAAAATTTAACTACAATTAGTGTGTTTTTTATTTTCATGGTGCCTTGCTAAAATGGCTGGGATACCATAATTTTTGAATATTATCTATTTTGTTACTTAAATATACCCTAAATTACTTCCTTCTTATTACCTTTGGTTCGAACCAAAAGAAAATGATGAAAAATACGTTTCATATGCTGTGACGGTTGAGTGATGTTACCCGTAAATATTGAATGTCAGTGTGTTGAATTCGTTTCCGAGTCTTATGCCTCGGAATGCCCTCATGTGCCCTCATGCTGCCCTCTCACCTGCACTCGGGCCTCGGTGAGCTCGACCCGAGCGGCTAGTTCCTCGCGCAGGAAAACGTCCGGATAATGCGTCGCGCAGAACGCTCTCTCCAGCTCAGCGAGCTGTGACCCAGTGAAAGTCGTCCTGCAATAGAGACGAATTAAATAATATTAATGAGACGAAGAGAAATTCCTTACGCGTCTGCACTTTGGGAAATGAACCGTGTTCGCACATGAATTAAAATATTATTATACATTAAATATAACATCTTTGCACGCACTTACAATAAATGCGTATTGTAGTATTTTCAGTTTTAATTTCATACTTTCATTGAATATTTCGTGAGGCTCATATACTGACAAATAAATATATAGGATTGATAACAGGACAACAGCAAATTATTTGTAAGATTGTAATGAAATATTTTAACCTCGATAAAATGTTCAATTCATTTGCCAAAAAATATTTGTAAACTATTTGTTTTGTGGTTATTTTATGCTAATTGTTGAATCACAAATTATCAGTTAATGGAAATATTTTACTTAAATTATATTTACCTGATTATTTGCTCAAATAATTACTCAATATAAATAATGTTCCTTTTTAGGTTATTATTCTTTACAAGCTATCGCTGAAATATATTATTTTATTGATAATAGGACCATAGACCTTATATCAAATATTACAGTATATTATTGCAGTACAGGCCAAAAATTTCCGGACACTTGAAAAAAATCTCATTTTCTGAGTTTTTAGCTTTATTTTTCATATAAAAATAATTTTATTCAAGTTGGTTTTGTACATTCTACGTAGTATTAATATTTAGTGACTGATTTGTAACCAATTTGTGAGAAATAGTAGACTAAATAGTAATGAAAATGTTAAAATGTCACTGCAGTCGATTTTCCTGAATATGACCACCCTTTGTTTTGATCACTGCAGCGCATATTTTTGGTGATTTTTCAACGAGTTTTTGCAATGTTTGCGCAGGTATGTTCTTCCAGGACTCGTTAAGGCAATTCCACAGGGCAGGGAGGCTGCTTGGATGCAAATCAGTCAGACAAATGCACGACAGTTCTATTGGATTAAGATCCATTATTTAAAGTATTTTTTCATCTTGTTTTCGCTTCAAATAATTGGCACAGAGTCCGAAAGTGTGTTTAGGGTCATTATCTTGTTGAAAAATAAATTTTGGACCAATTAAATTGAAACCAGATGGAATGGCGTGGCGCTCAAGTATGCTATGATACTGTTCTTTCTTTAAAGTTCCATGTATTTTGACAAGCGATCCGACTCCATTGAATCCAAAACAACCCCAAGCCATCACTGAACCACCACCGTGCTTTACCTTTGTCGAAATACACTTAGAATTGAGTCTTTCATTACCCTTCCTACGTCGATGACTTCCGAAAAGTTCGAATTTTGACTCATCCGTCCATAAAACTGATTTCCATTGATTGATGGTCCAATTTAAGTGGGTTTTGGCAAATTGGAATCTCTTTTGTTTATTTACTGCTCGCAGAAGCGGTTTTTTGAGTGGCCTGCACAATCGCCGGATCTTAATCCAATAGAGCTGTTGTGGGACGAGCTTAAATGCCGCGTGGAGGATTTGCATCCAAGCAGCCTCCCTGCCCTGTGGAATTGCCTTAACGAGTCCTGGAAGAACATACCTGCGCAAACATTGCAAAAACTTGTCAAAAGATTACCAAAAATATGCGCTGCAGCGATCAAAGCAAAGGGTGGTCATATTCAGGAAAATCGACTGTGACATTTTAACATTTTCATTGCTAATTAGTCCGTCATTTCTCACAAATTGGTTACAAACCAGTCACTAAATATTAATACTACGTAGAATGTACAAAACTAACTTGAATATAATTATTTTTATATGAGAAATATAGCTAAAAACTCAGAAAATGAGATTTTTCATGTGTCCGGAAACTTTTGGCCTGTACTGTATATATATATATATATATATATATATATAATATATATATATATATATATTCAATTTTAGTTCAAATTGATTTATGATACCTGTATCGACGCTGTTTCCTTTTTGTTATACTGACGCCTGTCTCTTCTGAAAGTATAATTTTTCGACAATTGTAAAATTATAATATGCCGAACTACACGACCGAAAAATATTTATATGAAAGAAAGATTGAGCAATATCATGTGTAACGTTTTAGATTGAACATGTGAATCTTAGTTAGAAAGTTGTATCTTATCCTATTCAAAATGTATTAACGATCAGATGATTACACTAAATAATTAAATCTTCTCATAACTATATACCATATTATTGCTTATTATTTAGTCGTCAAAATGTGCAATGATTTTCAATTTTAGAACATTTCAATTAAAAACATAAATAAATATTCGATTTCTCACCAACGTTAACATCATTATCATCGAAATCTTCGTCGCCCGTTAGTAACATTTTGCTATTGGTCACTGATTTTCTAAAGCTGAATTTCTTTCATATATTCAGTGTTTCGAGCTATTCATTGCCGAACTTTATTATTACTGAAATATAATATACGCTATAAATGAGGTCTAGTCTTTCTAGGTGTTTTGTTTCTAGCAGTTTTATTTTGTAGGTCTTCGCTTGTGCGCTTGAGCTTTTGAAGACTTACAAATGCAAAAATTCCTTTGCTGATGATATCGATTTCTGTTCTAATTTTATGTTCTAGTATTGAATTCTTTTGTTAAAAAAATGTCGAAAAAGTAAATTTTATTACAAGCCCACCATCCGTATCGAGTATACGGTGTTGCCGATAAATTTAGGGAGAAAGATTAATTTGGGGAACAGCCATAAAAAACTTCATAAATTATTTTTAATTTGCAGATTCCGTTTTTTCACATAAGTATATTATGAAAAAATCTTCTTATGCATTAAGCTTTAAGTGGAAGTAAGGTTATGCCTTCCTATTTGGTAATTTTATGAATTATATATTTTCTCGACATTTTTAGTCGTTCTGAATCGATGTAGGTCTTGGACCAACCTTGGTATTTCATCTACGTTTTTTCGTAATTAATTGTTGAAAATTTATTTTTTAATTATTTTAATGAAACTTTTTATAATGATAGAGTTTATGGTCTTAGCAAAATTTATAAAAATATTGTGAACCTAATTTGGTACAATGAGTGTAGTAGATTTACTACTACACTCATTGTTACGCCCTTCATAAAGGCCCCCAGACATAATTATATACAGCACCCTAGAAAGGAACACCAAAATGGGTTTTACACCAAGTCAAATAATATTTCTGAAAATGCAATGTGTTAACAATTCTTATAAATTACATATAATCATCATTTAGTGGCACACGAAACATTTTGGTTTATCTAAACAGTTTTTATTCATATAACCAACAATTACATAATAATTTTCTACATGCTACTATAATTAATGAGATTTGCCGCTTTCCATTAAATCTTTTGCTTCATTAATTTTTGCTGCTAAATATGGTGAACCTCCTCTATCCGGGTGATTCTGAGACATAATTTTTTTAAATGCCTCTTTAACCTAGTAAAATAATTATTATTATATTTATATATTAGGTTATTTATCAATATTACTTTATTCTGTAGCATATTTCTGATGCTCACAGTATTGGCATCTTGGATCAGAAAACAATATTCAAAAATGTTCAGAAACCAACTTTTCATTAAAAAAAAACAGAACAACATTAAAGTAGTTGGAATACATATTCTAAATGTGCTCATGGCTTCATTAATGTTGGTCATTATTTAATTTACATTTCATTCATGAAAAATTATAAAATTAATTTAAAAAAACTTGCAATTAATGCCTTCGTGAATTTTTATTTTCCAAGTTTAATCATAAAAGCGAATAACAATGATTGCAAATGCAAATTCAACGTTTATATCTGTACCTTGCTTTTTGGGCTTGTGGGACTGATCCCTAAAATTAAAGAGGCTTCTCGCTTTGTCATTTTTGTTTCAAAACCACCTTTGTAATACCGAGAATTTGCAAGACTATCTGCATCAAATTTTGGAAGATTTTTCATAGCTTCAGAAACCTTTTGTGAAACATTTGGCATTTGCCGTAAAACATAACGACCAGCAAAACCCACTGCTGAAAGGGCTAAACCTGCAACAATTACTGAACTAGCCTATAATTAAATATAATCACATTTAATAGTATAGTAATAATTTAAATATGTAATACACATATATATTTACATACCATATTTTTTTCGTATTTTTTTTTTGGTGAGGTTATACAATATTGTTAACCGGAAATTTTCATTATTTTATATATAATTCTTTGCGCCTTTGACTTTATTGCGGTAACAATAGTATTTGAAATTAATAAAAGCTGATCTTACATAGCACCATTTAATTATTATATATGTAATTGCACATTGTACATAATTTTATTATTTTTTCTTAGCGAACTCGAATATTCCTTATAGAACGTCAAAAAATGTTATCTCCGATTAAAACCATATTTTATTCATAGATGGCTATACAAATTTAACTTGAAATGTAAGCATCGTCATGGGAACTTATATGCATAAATAAATAAAGAAATAAAATATATCTTATTAAAAGAACTGTATCTTCCTTACGCTTTGGAACTTTCAAGAAATTAATCTTTCATTTCAACTGTGCTTGCATATGTAAATTATTGTTGTATAAATTCATCAAATCTCGTGAATACTTGTGTGCACCAAATGAATTACATCATACTTTCATAATTATCAGTTATTTAACATAAAAGTTACGAGTAAGAAACAACATTGTCACATTACCACTAGCACCTGTATAGACACAAAATGGAATTTTGTCTTTCATGAAAAATTAACTTCATAATATAAAAATTGTAGAAACATAAAAACTGTAAATTATTTGAAAATTTATCTCTATTTACATAATTACAAAATATCGCTTATTTTAATCAATGTCATGATCATGAAATAGTTGAAAATGAACATACACATTTACCAATAAAATTAAAAATGTAATCTAGAAATATACAAATATAGAATAAAAATACAATACTTATTGATATATTTTTAAATAACTAAGTATTCGAATGAAATTGTTTAAACAGGGCACTTATATACGTTCAGACATTTATCATCTGAAACCGAAACTATTTTATCACCATCTGGACTATAAGCAACACCCCACACTCCCTCCTTATGTTCACGAAATGTATGAATGCACTGCTTTTCTGCCAATGACCATACCTTCACTGTTTTATCACTTGAAGAAGAAGTAAAATTATTTCCTGATTTTGAAAAAGCCACATTAACCACCCAAGAAGAATGTCCAGATAATGTGCCTGATAACAAAATGAAAATACTTAACATAAGCATGATGGCATTCCATTGCATCCATAAGGTAATAAGATACAGTTAACAAAACGAATAATTTTGTTACATTTTTTGATTATCATACCTGCAACACTGGTCCGCAAACTGTTGATATCATAGAGTTTCATGTGCCCATCATCAGAAGCAGTTAGTAATATTTGTGAATCTGGAGAAAATGCTAAACCTCTTACAGGCAATGCATGATCACCAAGCATATGCATATGTTTCCCTAAAATACATAATTTATGTAATTCATTATATATATATTTATGCAAGTTTGTATGGGTTCGTCCATGTGTTTGTACCTGTAGCAACATCAAATATACTTATTATTCCTTCCACGCTCCCACTGGCCACATATTTTCCATCTGGGCTATATGCTATACTAAGAGTAAATTTACCCTTACTATCTAAGGTTCTTTCAGCTTTACCAGTCTCCACATCATAAAAAGAAATTATACCTGGAATATTTTAGAAATGTTTTTATTTGTACTGGTCATGGTAAAAATAAAATATATTCCATAAGGTTTTATATTACTTATGTTAGTATAATTAAAAAGGGGTGGATTAAATTATTATCTCACCAGAACTTGAACCCGATATTACATATTTATCATCAGGGCTAAAAGATAAGGTCCAAACTTCTACTGGACCTACTTCTAAAGTTCTCAATAATTCACCACTTTCAAGAGACCAAAGTTTCAAACTAGAATCAAGACTAGAACTGGCACAAATTTTACCATCAGAACTTATTGCTACTGATACAACACCTGCAAATCCATAAAGATATATTTACAAAACAAATTGTTTACTATTTATCTGGTAAAACTTCATTGTTTTAATAGAATATTTTCTAACCTAACGAATGCCCTTCAAACTTATGCCTCAGTTCTATTCTACCATTGGAGATTTCCCATACTTTTACTAGATCATCCAGGCCTCCAGTTACAATGTAATCTGTCGATGTTTCTTCAGTTTCATTACCGTACTTTCCACGGCCCCAAGCTACACACCAAACATTATCGTCGTGAGCGTTTTCTTTTCGGTATTGGAGAGCATAAGGTGCCCCGTACGTATCGATTTTATCTGCCATTTCCAAGTTAATAATATAATAAATTACATTCCCCAACAATTCATGTCAAACTAGTATACAATGGGCATATTACATACAAAAAATTATAAAAAGTAATCTGCTTGAGGTTTTTTTGAAGGAATTCCACGACTTTCTTGTGGTGCTGCCTCAAATATTGTGAAATCTCTTTGTAAATGTTCATTTAATTCCAAAATGGCAGCTACATTTCCACACCTAATAATTATAATTTATATTAATTTCAGAAATGCATGTCAAATAAGTAATAAGCTCTATTGATTTACCGGTAGCAATAATTAGGTGCTGACCATACAGTCAGAACTGTTTCATTAAAATGCCATTTATAACCTTCCATAACTAGTTGATGAGCTCTACATATCATTTCAATATCATTAGAACTGTTGAATTGTGCTACAACATCGGAACCAAATAAATATCCTGCCCCACGTGGTGACACACCCCACCCCTGAGTATCTAAAATGCATACAAATAATTTAATGCCTGAAAAATGATACTGAAAATACATTAAGTTCCTAAAGCATAGTATTACCTTCTGGATCACTCCACAACAAATCACACATTGGCCCATCATGAGGGACCTCTTGCTTTCTATCAATAGTTCGTATTTGATCAAGTGTTTGAATAGATGGACTTAGTCCACCATGTACACAAAATATTTTTCCATCAATGATAGCGGATAAACTTAAGTAATCAAAAATTTCTGTACAATACCGCCAAACTGTAATTGATCCATATTTTCTAAGACATTCATCATAAAATCCATATACTTGTGTAATTTGTCTTGATTCATGATTTCCTCTTATTAATGTAATTCGATCAGGATATCGAACCTACAAAATAAATAGGTCAAAAATAATATATATATATATATATATATGTATATATACATATATATAATGTTTTTATTAAACATTACTGTACTTTTAAAGCTAACAACAATAAAAATGTTTCCACACTGTAAAATCCTCTATCCACAAAATCACCCATAAACAAATAGTTTGTTTCGGGAACATCACCACCCACTTTGAAAAGCTCCTTCAAATCATAGAACTGTCCATGAATATCCCCACAAACCTGAAATGAAATACATAACAACAAAAGTATAAAAGAAGTTATATATTATACACAAACATTTATATATTAGTATTACATATGTAGCTATAATTTACTAATGTTAGACTATAATTTAATGTTGTCTGACAGCATTCAGAAGTACCCGAATCTCTTAAACCAATAGCATATATCATTATAGCAATGGGAGACTCCAGAATACTAATTCATCATAATGCACATTGAAAATCAATGCTTCAGATTGAAAACTTATCCTCACAGCATTATTTTATTCAAAATTCATTTTTCTTAATTTGAAGTTCAAATAACATTCTTTTAATAAAATATATGCTATTTACAAAACTAATTAAGAAAAAGAACATGAAATAACCATTATAGGAAAGTATCATCATCACCAGCAGTTCTATTGATAACTACATAACTATAACAAGATTGATTATATACTATCTGTTAATACTGTTAAAATATTATTAGTACTTACTGTGACGGGTGAATCAACTCGTTGAACATTGCTTTCTTCTACCAAAATTTCTCTGGCTTTAGCACAAAGAGCCTTTACTTCAGCTTCTTTAATAATCTCACATCTTTTTAATTGTTCAATTTGTCTATCTAAATCGCTATTATCAGTCATTCTGATTGTGACAAGGCTGAAATTTGGATATTTCAATCAGCACTCTATCCAGCTAAAAGAATTAAAATTTCAACTTTTGCACATAATGTTTTTATATTTATTAGGCTTTTAGCAGATAACGCGAGCATTGTTCGTGATGTTTAAAATATCATTGATCAATTTATTATATGAAATATATACCTCAAAATTAGATGAAATTATGAGAATTCGATAATATAATACTGTATTAAAAACTGAGCAGTAGAACCTATCAAACGTATACCATCATTATTATATTGTCTAGGTATACCATCATTCTGCCATTTTCTGTAGTCAAACCAAACCAAACATTGCTCAGTTCAGAACAGAAGGTTAGGGGGAATGCGTGTGAAGTGAGCTGATAATAGTAGATTGAATCATGATTGAAACTGTTCGCATAGTAAATAAATAAAAAAATAAATAGACAAAAAATAAAGGACAAAAGACTTAACGTTATATTTATTTTTAATTTTATTACTTTGCTGTATATTTTTTAATACGCAAGAAATAAAAATATAAACTGAAAACTAAGTTACTGAAATCGTGCAACAGTTTTATTTCAAAAGTCGCTAAACATCGATTTTATGCTGAAACGCATGCGCATATATCGAGAACAGGAAAATCAGGGATTCAAAGTTCAAATAATCTAAATAAGCATAATGTTAATATGAAATTAAATCAAATTGCTTACACATTCCATTTAATATATCTTTATCAAGAAATGGCATACATAAATAGATTTATGCAATGTAAATTTACTATTACGCGCCATTATTGCCAACATTCAAACGTTTTCTCTCTCTCTTCTGTAAATGTATGATTTGACAGTAGCTTGTTTCTGTGTTAGGCCGAATGTCAACTATAAGTTAATAAATGTTTTGAAAAAAAAATTGCTCCTATTAATCTATTCAAAATATTAGAACATTAGGAGTAATATTTAACGCACTATTCATTGTCGTTCAAGACTATTAGTGTTGGTGTGTGAGTTTCTAGTAAAATGGGAAATATACATACCGTTGGACCAAATGAAGCCCTCATAGTGTCAGGCAAGGATTTACCTATTTATTAATAAATTAATTAATTTCTGTTAAGTTGTAATTGCCCTATATTGCATTAATATTTTCAAAAGCTGTTTGAAATTTTAATTAATACTATAACGCAAAATGCTATCATATATATTTACACAAGTTGTTAGGTTGTTAGATGTTTATTCTGTTTCTTTAGCTATTTCTGTATATTTATTATGGTACATATATAATTTAAACTAATTCTATAATCACCATTTTTGCATTATGTTTCTAGATCAATGTCATTGAACAAATTCATATATTAGCATACAAACATTTTTTTGCACATATCAATAGAAAAGCTCTGAAACATTAAAATTATTTATAGAACGAATAAAAATTAGCATATTGTTCTAGTAATAATTATTATAATGGGTTACCAGAAGCAAACATTCAAACAAAAATTAGGGGTGGAGCCTTATCTCAAAAATAAGCTTTAAAAGAACTCTTAGTGGGATATAGAGCATAAAGTAAATTAATAATCAATTAGGAAAATGAAAAATTGGTATAGTGATTTTTATCTATAAAAAAAATCCAGAGCAATCATTAATGTCAAATATTTGTTATTGAGAAAAGGAAGATTTCTCTGCTAAGCGAATCTTACAATTAGTCATTGTTGGATAGATCGATATTGAAATAAATCCAAGTTTAGCTGAATATCAGCAACTATTTTAAATTTGCTTTGAATATTGAATCAAAGAACATTATTTAACATAAAAATTGAGTATAAACTTGAAGAACACTTGTATCAATTTTTATCGTATGTTATATTTGACATAATGTAATGTTAAAAATTGAACATACTATAATTTAATCAGTCATTTTACTTTAGTATAATAAAATTAATTCTTAATCTACGTAATCTATACTTATTATTTGTACTTTGTCAGCCAATCATTCTTAATAAGATCTGCAGCCTTTTCCCCAACCACAATTGCCGGTGCATTTGTATGAGCTGTGAGAGGAATTGGAATTATGCTACAATCTGCCACTCTTAATCCCTTAATACCAATACACGAAGTGCTGGATCTACTACAGCCTCAGGGTCATTTTTGGGACCCATTTTACAAGTTCCCACTTGGTGATGCAAAGTTGCAGTAAGTTGACGCAATGCACAACGCCAATATTCATCACTACCAAATAAAATATTTCTACAGCCAGGTAAAGGTATATCGTGCAATCGCGATCCAATACGCTGCATGGCTGGTGAATCAGATATGCGAATAATCTCTTTAATACCTTCAACCATCGTGTCAATATCTTGGTTTTCAGGATCTGAAAAGTAATTGCCATACAGTTTTGGCCAGTGGAATGGATTTTTATCCTTTAACTTGATGTATCCCTTAGAATTTGGATGAACTAACATAGGAAATGCTGTCCAGGCATGTTTATTTTCCACTGGTTTGAAAACAGTGTCATACACTTCTTCTGTAATGTCCATGCCGCGTCGAACACCAGAACCATAATCTGATGACAGCGTGCCACCAAGAAATATTACTTCTATATCGGCATGAGGAATGCTTTCTTTACTCTTTTTTGTTTTTATGTATCCCAAAGATTCTACACCTCCGATTTCAACAAACGGGCCCTGATTTTTGAACCATCCTGTAATTGCTGGTATGTTTAAGATGTCATCTAATATGATTGTTGAATCTGTGATATTGACTGTAAATACTAATCCTGGATAACAAATATGATCATACATAGTTTCGCCAACCCGCAGATCTTGAATTACAGGTATACCTATCTCTTGCAAATGTTCTTTTGGTCCTATTCCTGATAGCATCAGCAATTGTGGTGAGTGAAAGGTACCTGCTGATAAGACCACTTCTTTTCTTGCACGTACTATTCGTTTTCTTCCATTTTTATAATACTCCACACCAAAGGCTTTTATTTCTTGGATCGATTAGTAATTTTGTTGCTCTTGCGTCTGTCAATATGTGCAAGTTTGGTCTCTGCTTAACAGGTCTGAGGAAAGCTTTAGCAACGCTGTGTCTCCTACCTCGTTGAGTCGTTGCCTGTACATATCCAAAACCAAACTGATTTTTTCCATTATAATCAAGAAATTGATGACCTATTTCTTGTGCTCCCTTTAAGAATGGTTCTAGAACTCGAGACCTGTGGGACACATCTTCTACGCTTAGATAACCATCATGACCATGATAGTAAGGCTCATGGTTAGCTATGTTGACTCGTTCTGACTTTTTGAAGTAGGGCAGTACTTCATCGTAGGACCAGCCAGGGTTTCCGGCAGCCGCCCAACGATCGTAATCGACCCGGTTGCCTCGTGTATAAATCATATAGTTGATGACGCTCGTTCCTCCGACTGCTTTACCTCGAGGCCAATTGCATCGTTGATCTTCCATACCTTACAAAAAATTTGAAAGATCAGCCGAAAAGAAAAATATTTCGTTTACGAATATAATATACGAAATAAGCTATTCTTAGGAATATTGTACCTAAGCAAACTCCAGGTTGTGGTTCCATTCTATAGCCCCAGTTATAATCAGTTTTTTGGAAATAAGCCGCTAAGAGTGGTACATCGGTGGGAAGCATCTCTCCTAGCCCAGCTTCAATCAGGAGCACTTTCCATTCTGGAACTTCTGTTAGTCTATTTGCTATAACGGACCCACTTGATCCTGCTCCAATTATCACGAAATCATATTCGTCTAAGGGCAAGTGGTGTAAATCTGTGAAGAAGATTTATATTAATTTGATATTTTACCGGCACTTATGTAAAACATGTTTTTTTTACTATACCGTAGCGCTTTCAATAATATATTATGTTAATGATAAAAAATGAATCTAACTTAGAATTTAGCTTTTCTTTAAATGCGTTTTTACAATCATGCATTATACGGCGATAATGATATGAATTACTAATAATTTGAATATAATTAATATTTAAGTTAAATTTATCGTATTTGGACGAGCACAAAACAAAAAATCGTAGAAAACGTAGTTTTCAAATCTTTCATGTATTTTATATGAATCTTTTATTTTCTTATGATATATTATTTGTCACTCATTTTTGAAATTTTGTGGTCAGATTATTTGCACATTTCTTCATGCGTCTAATCTAATTAATTAACTTAAAATAATCGATTCATTTCCGCAATTTCGTTAACTTTATAACTAAATTTTATATTTTTTAATTGATATATTGATACGAACTATTAATATTGAATTTTTTATACTAACCGTAGTCTTCCTTCAGAAATGTAAATCCTCTATAATTTTGATGCCTCTTCGAAAGGAATGGGTTGTTTATAGAGATACCATTCCCGGCGCTATGCATCGCCTGTGCCGTGGAAAACATTCGCATGGCATAATCGAAAAATTGCGGTGTGATAAGGAACAAATGAGCTTGATGCACCGATAAAATTATCACTGAAACTACGATTCCTTTAAGAGTCAACATTTCGTCAATATTTTTCTCACACCTTTAGTATATGGACCGACGCAACATAATTTATGTTGCGTATTCAGAAACGAAATGATGGTTGGACCGAAGCGCGACTTTTTTTATAATCCTGTACCTTAGTTGCCACGATTGTGAATCAATCGGGTTGGATGACCCGATAGTTTGCTCCTGTGGGGAGAACGACTGCGACATCGGCTTACTCGCGAGACTACTCTCTATGTACCGCTGTAGCCGTTAATCAATTAAAATTCGTATCGTAATTAATTATAACTTTTTTTATATACTAAATGATTAATTTTAAAACAGATATTATTGATTTTCAATGCTAATAGGTATTTGACATCATTGAACTGTTCTCATGTTTATCGCGTATAATAGAATAGTACTGAATATCTGGAGTATGTACTTATAATTATATATTTGCTTCTTGGTGCACAGAAGTAACCGTAGAAAACCACCAAGTGAATAAAACCAGTAAATACTGAATATTTTTTGTGCAGTTATTTATATATTTAAATGTTTAAATATATACACCGAAACGCACATAAAAATTATTAGTGATATCAGACGTTCTATGATCAGGTTATTGCACTATTAGTTGTTCTTGTTTCGCTTGAATTTATCGTACTTTGAGTTTTTACATAACATAAAAACAACATTTGCGATTCAAAACTAGTTGTCGAAGAAGTCTTTTATTCGGTATATAACCTTCAGTTATCGTTCACAATACTCATATTTCTTAATGTGCGTATTTTTGAATGTAACGGTACAACATTCTTGTCACGACGTTTTCAGTGTGATATTATTAAAAATCTGAAGACACAGTGGGAAAATGTCAATATGAAAAGTACATTAGCATTTTCGTCTAATTAATTTTTCAAGGTTCAAATAGCAATAAGGCGGCACTTACACTGTTTCTGTTTAAGTTTGATTCATTGATAATAACAAAATCTTTTTTTTGTTAATGACCGTTTTAATTTTAAGTTTACAGATACAAATAAAATTTCTGAGAGGGGATTTTAGTTTTTATTTTTATTTCATATTTGAGACAGTTATTTTTATAATAACAAAGCTTTCAATGATTTTTAATTATTCTTGTCACGACGTTTTCAGTGTGATATTATTAAAAATCTGAAGACACAGTGGGAAAATGTCAATATGAAAAGTACATTAGCATTTTCGTCTAATTAATTTTTCAAGGTTCAAATAGCAATAAGGCGGCACTTACACTGTTTCTGTTTAAGTTTGATGTCATTGATAATAACAAAATCTTTTTTTTGTTAATGACACGTTTTAATTTTAAGTTTACAGATACAAATAAAAATTTCTGAGAGGGATTTTAGTTTTTATTTTTATTTCATATTTGAGAACAGTATTTTTTATTAATAACAAAGCTTTCAATGATTTTTAATTATACATCTATAGTTTAAACAATGTATTAAGCTATTCTTGGATCTTTTAAGTACGTTGATAATTTAAATTACATTTCATTGAATATTATATAATATCACTTTGAATCATATAATTATTTTGATTTTAAGATATCAAATATTCA